ATAGTTACAGCAGTTAACTTTTTAAAATGGGAAAACAAGGAATTAATGTGCATTAAAGAAAGGCTTCTTTGTACCAAGCACTGTACAATATAGTGTTTTTAAAAGTCGGAAAATATGTTAGCAGGAAAGCCTAGGCTGTAATTTAGATAACAACCCTGACAATGAGCTAGCTTGTTAATTGTAAAGACTTGTGGAGAGCTGCCAGCTACAATACCCTTCTTTTTATAGCCTACTATGAATTCCTCTTGTAAGACAGTGAATGACGTGACACTAGGTTTTATACTATGTTTTGGAATCTTTCATTTAGTTTCTTGTCTTGGCGCTATTCTCCCAGTTTGACAGGCACTTTTATGATGCTAAAAGAAATCCAACTGGCATTATGGGTGGTCTTGGGAGCAGGGCAGACAAAAATGTGTTGTGGATTGCATGTTGATGCTCTAGACCTCATTGTAATCACTCTTTAAACCAAGAATGTAGGATGCAGGCAGCAAATGCTAGCCAAATTACTCATCTTGAAACCATGCTAGAAATTGTGGCTGGTGAGCAATGCTTTTCAGCTTTGTACTTTAGAGCACTTCTGTGCTCAAAATGTAGGGCTCATTCCAGTGCACACACTGCATACCCTCCAGTAAATGCAGACATGAAGAGAAGTGCTGCATTCCTTTGCAATTGCCTTGCTTGACTATGTTTTGAAGAATGGGTGGGGAGCACCTGGAGGAGGGGAAGGGGCTTTCCTTTGCAAGGACTTGCAAAATAGAAGTGTTTGGTAGATAAGTTGCCAGCAATGATCTGTATTTAGATATTTTCACTTGAATGTGTCTTTCCACTTAGTATCAGCTTGGCATGGTTTCATTCATTATCCGTCCCATTCATTAATTTGTAACTTAAAAAGGAAGACCATATTTTTTTTTCAAATTACAGCACTTTATTTGTTTCCTTGTGTTATTTTTATCCTACCCAAAGCTCAGTGGGTTGTGCACAACAATGCATAAAGCTCACTCCATGTATACAATAAAAATAACATAAAATACCCACAAAACAGCATATGTATATGCCAATGCACAAAATTGTAAGAATCATTTAACAAGCACAATTTTAGTGCCACTAGACCTTCTAAAAGTAGCTAACATAAATGCCCCATCGTGCCATCATGCCTGGGAGAACAGGGATCAACAAAAAAACTAGCCTTATTCACTATTAGGGGTCATTTTGTTACCCCAGACAAAAGCATCTCAGGCAAAAAAAAAAAAATGCTGTATATGAAAGGCTTCATTCTGTCTGAATGTTTCCCATGGGAGGTATAAGAATATCTTTCAGCATTTAGCAAGTACAGGTCATTTAAGGTTTAATCCTTCCTGAGGGTATACATAGCAGTAAAATATTGGCCCATTGACCTTTTTCTCTGCCTGACAATTGTCTGGCCTACTAACTAAAAGAGAAAATAGAAAAGATTTCACTTGATGGATTTTAATTATGTTTGCTGGATGCTTTAGCCTGAATCTTAGCTTTCAAAATTGACCAAGGTGATCTTTACTAAACCCTCTTTAGTTCCTTTGTTTGTTTGTTTGTTTGTTTGTTTGTTTTTGGAAATATAAAAGCTTATGGAACTATGGGGAAGGGCATTTTAGGCCCTAGGCATGTTTTGGTTTATAGGAAAAATTGCACAAGGCAGAAGATTGAGAAGATTAGGGACTGAGATTTTAGATAAGGTGGTTTGTGACAATGATCTAGAAGGAAAAGTCTACAGGAGTGCTTATGTGGAAATAGCAGTACTGAATGTGGGGATTCCAGAAATGATGATAGAGTTGGCATCAGTGTGGAGATCATTCCATAAACGGAGGGCTGCCACTGAGAAAGCCTCTCTCTTGTTACCATCCTCAGATCCTCACTGAAAGGTGGCATCTCAGATGCTGACCATAGTGTCTGAACAGACTCAGCATTTTGATATTTTTGTTGAGCTGACAATTAGAGTTTGTTCATTTGAGAAGTGTAACTGTCTGCGAGCAGGTCAGTTCTGATCCTCACAGCAAAATGTTGATTCTCTTAGAGAGCGCCTTACTCCATATATCCCTGCTTAAGTTATCAGCTGAGACCCTCCTCAGAGTTCCTTCCACCAAGGAGGTTAAGGGTGTGGCTGCAAGGAAGAGGGTCTTTTCCATAGCAGCATCCCAACTATGGATCATTTTACCTCATTTCACCAGGTACCTACCTTGCTGAGTTTTAGATGCCTGGCAAAAAAACTTCCTTTTTTGGCATGTCTATGGTATTACTTAGACCATTCTGACTAATCACAATGTTTTTAATATATTTTATTGAATTATGGATTTTGTTATTTTATCTTGTTCTTTTATTATGATATTTTAAATTGTATTTCAGGAAACCCGAAAATAACTGATTTTTTTGCTTTGCTTTGAATTAATCAAATTATCTAAAAACCAAAAAGATAAAACAGCAACATTAGTCTCATTTGCAAAACTGCAGCTTGCTTTTCCATCAGATTGTAGGCAGGCATTTTCTGAAAATGGGTGATAGGGAAGGAACAGTTACTTTTCCCAGCAGAAACCAAACTGCTCTGTTCTCCTGTCCATGTGTTTTGTTTCCTTTCAACCTCAAGAGGCTTAATAGAAGGCTTCAAAAATGAGATGCAAAAATCCTCCATCTGTTCCTCACCTGGCATGGAAAGGAGTAGATTGAACTGATCTGTGCACCATCCTTGGAGGGAAACTGTAGCATTTTTACAGGCAATGCAAATTGCAAGGGGGAAGGATTTTTTCTCTCTATTCCCCTCCTTCCCCCCAGGTGGGAAGATCAATTGCAGAAATGGAACCTCATGAGATCCCTCCACCATCCTGGAAGTAGTCGACTTCCAGCATTAGCTGCATACCTATTTTGTTCTTCCCAGGTGTCTGAGGTGAAACTTGATAAAACTTACCTCTTCAGGAATCATGAAAACTAGAACCCTGGGTCATACAGCAGATGAGGGACGAAGTAAAATGGCACCTGAATTAATGCATATAGTCACAGCCTGTCTAGTTTATTCAGAAGTTAGTTCTGATTTCAGTTGGACTTGCATCCAAATAATAACTAGTTCACTTAGTTCACATTTTTTATTTAAATATTGGTAGGCTGGAGGAATAAAATTCTGAAATTAGGACAACCATGTGCGTGCCTTTGAAAAGCAAAACAAATACTGGATGGTTACATTTAAAAGCGGACCATCAAGACACAACTCAATGGATTATGTTTTGCAAATTGCATTGTTACAGACAGCTCATCTCAGTGTATGAATCATTATGGGATGCTGCAATTAACTGCAATTGGCTCTGCCCCATGCTGCCATTTTGCATCTGTGTCTGGTGAACCTCAGAGCTATGGCAAAAAATGAAAAAGAAAGTAACCCTCCAAACCAAAAATCTGCCCACCGTAGTTCGTGAGACGTAGCTTAGAGATTGGATCCAACACTGTGCACAGACTTTCACTAGTGTCCCCTTGCAGTACCACATGCATGTTCCAAAAAAAAGCGGGGGGGGGGGAGGAAATGCATTCTTTTAGCTGTTTCTGTTTCATTTGCTAAACAAAGGACACATCTAAATCATTGCTTATCAGAATTCACAACTATACATTCTCATGTATCCCAAGTTACTGCATTTTAACTATTTCTGTTAGCCTTTTTGATTATGTTTGAATTCACAAAATCAAATTGAAAATTTTCAGTTCAGAGTGGGGTGTGTGGATGATGAGGATGCCGTGTGATTAATTTTGGCACATTCTTAGGTTCTGACTACAAGCAACAAATATGTTCTATAGGGCTGAGACATTTTGGACTATATTCATTGACTATAAAAACTCTCAGGATTTGGAAGAAAAGTTGGGTTTGATAACTACTTAGGTAACAAGCTGTTTTGCTAAGAAATATTGTATCATTTTAAAGTTAATTGATTCCTTGATTTATTACTACAATTAGAGGAGCTATCTGCTTTACTTTAATGTACTGCTGAGGATCCCCAACTCCTACTGTTGTTGTTCCAGGGTTGGCTCAAATATTATGTCCTCCCTCATTAATGAGTTGCAGCTCCCAAAACCTTTTGCACAAGTATTAGGCAGCAGGTGGCTAGAGATGGAGCCGTGAATGTTTCATTTGGAGCCCAGAATCTCTGGGAAGCCATGTGCTCAACCACCCTTCCTTCCAGGCCATGTGTTACAATTATGGTAAAGTGTGCCTGATAATCTTTTTTAGATCTGATCTCCCGAGTTAGCTGGCTTTTTGCCCACTTATACTTCAGCTTATCTCCCTTACCTGTGCATGGTTCTGCCTGAGCCTTTGTGCCCCCCCCCCCCCAGCATGAAATGCCTTCTTCTGCCCTGTCCATGCATTTCACTTTTGGAGTAGGTGTGTCCCACAGTCTCTTTTATATATACATGCAGATCATATTTAAGTAAACATTTCCAACGTGTGTGCTTGTGTTTGTCCTGTGTGCCTGAGCCTCAGATCCTTTTAGTACCTTGCCTTGCCCAACCTGTGTTATAGCAACACCCCATGTAGATCTTCAAAGCTTAACCCAAGTCTTCATATAAACAATTTTTTTTCTACGTGTAGTTGTGTTCTTGGTATGTGGCCATACTGTTGCTGTTAACCAGTGGATTTTTTAAAAGTTGTATTTATTTTTTTGGCAATTATTCAGCTATTGGGTGGTATAGAAATAAATTATTATTAATGATATTATTAATATTACTATTACCAATTAACATTCTACAAAAAGAGAGAAAAATATGAGATCAGAAATGCTGCCATCTAAAGGAGCCAGATATAAAATAAAGAGGAATAAATGTAAGAGCTGAACACAAATTGAGGGTATGACAACAGTGGAAGCCAAGTGAGGTGTGAAGTGGAATACCAAATGCATCAAGCCTTGAAGAGATACAGAAAGTCGTGCAATATGGAAATGAAATTCTCAGGAGTATCTTTCCTGTTGTACAATTTTGTTCATTTGTTTACACAGATGCCACATGTGCCACTGACCCACTGAAGAAGATATACAAGATTTCCAAGAGCAAACCAATGCTTTTGCCTACTTGTACAACTCTATAAATCTATGCCTGGTGTTTTAGGAGTGTCCACAAGGCACATGGATAACATAGAATTTTAAGAATGCTTTAAAGAGGCAGCCAAAGTGAGATTAATCCTAGAACCAGCATCATATGAAAATTGTGCGTATTTGCGACATCTGCACAACCAGAATCAGCACCAGATTTCTGACACTGACAACAGCTCTCTGTCTCCTGAAGTCCAAAGAGGTGAATTGTGTGTAAGTACCACCACATACACAGAAAGGCTTTTTATTGAATGAGTCTTAGATGTAGGACTAACATAGCTGACCAAAAATTGGTCAGTGGAGATTATTAAAGAGAGCAGAGAATTCCAGTTTTCACTAATGATGAATGCTTACCAAATTGGTGGAGTTCGTTGAAGTGTTGTTCTGACATTGCTGCTCTTTCATTCTTAATTAAGTAAGCAAGTGTCACAATATTTTATCTTACTAGAAGTTTAATTCCTTCTAGTTCTGTGGGAGTAGCTGTAGAAGTAACACTATAATTTACTTCCAAAATTAAATTTCAGTTTCATAATAATAGTGTTTCCATTAGAAAGGAAGATTATTGATTCAGGGCAACTTAATTTATATTGTTAATTTATATTATGCTATTGAAGTTGATTCATGGTTGTGAGCCGCCCCGAGGCTTCGGCTAATGGGGCGGCATAGAAGTCTCCTAAATAAATACATAAATAAATTCATGTATCAGCATCTAAAATAGTGTCCACGTGCATTTAATGCTGCACATAAAATTCAAGCTTTTCTTTTCTAACACTTTAATAGTGTTGGATTATAAAATATTCTGGAATTAAGTTTGTTATAAATCTGTGTCTGACACTTAGAACACAAGTAGCCATTGCTGAAATGAACAGTAACAACAACAAGAAAAACCTCCCACTATGCTCTGGATTTGTCACCCTCTGCAAGCATTGTACCTTTCCGTCTCCTCTGTGTATTCAGGCTAGACACACCCTTGTTGGGAATGCTGTGAGCGGAGTCGGCTGGAGCCGTAGGTCAGACTAGATGGCCCAGGAGGCCCCGTCTGACTCACCCTGTTTCTGTTTCTATGTTTCATCCCTGGTGGTGAGTCAGCATTCTGGAGAGCTCAGGGATATTTAATTCATTGCAGCAAGGCAATGTCTGTGTGATTCTTCACTTCATGCCTATGGGTGGGAACAGTACAGCAGAGATGGTGAGCTGATCAGGGATGAGAATATATTAGAGATAATCTCATGAAACTCAACTGGGCCACCATCTTGCACTCTTTGTTGGTTCAGTGGGTATAAATGACCAAGTTGTATTAGAGTAGGCCATGCTGCTATGTGTGCAATCACATTGGCTCAGAAGTAAGACCCATTGGTTTCAGTGGAACTTTCTTCCAGGCAAAAGAATCTGGTTCTCTTCAATGGATCTTCCACTGAACCTGCATCTGCTTTCAAAACTGGTGGTGCCAACTGGATTATGCAGAATATCTTGTAAATATGAGAACTTCAAACTAAATATGAATTCAGTTGCCAGAATGCACTTAACATACACATTTTTCTTATGGCAATTGTAGGAGACTTCCCTTTAAATGCAAACAGGAGCTTGTGAAATAAGGAATTGTGTTGCTGTTGTTGAGTCTGGGAGGGAAAAGAAAGAGATGAATGTTCCCTTTTGGCTACCACCAATCACCTTCAAGTTTGTATGGGCTTAACCATGGTTGCTACTTACATAAGAAAAAATTGTGTAATTTAATTTAATTTAATTTAATTTACAAAGAATTACCATCACTTCTAGTTTTCCCTTTAGTACCAGTGTGAATGTCAGAGTCCCTTTATTTGTGTTTTTAAAACCACTGGTTGTATAAAGTTCCATGTGTGAATTTAAACTTGAATAACTTTGGTTTCAGTTTTTTGAGGGCACTTTGTTATCTGATATGTCAAGGTATAAGGCCTGTATTCCTGAGACCATTTTGCTAAAAATGTATGCAATTAGAAAAATATAATTTAACCTTTTCGAACCAGTTTGGTCAGATGGCATGTTATCCTAAATTATGCACTGAAGTGGATTGCCAGATCTGTCACTTTCCTAAGGGAACATTTGAATAGCAAATTTTCAGTCTGATGCCTTGTAAATGTCAAAAAACCAAAACCAATGCATACCAGGAATGGATGCTATAGATCAAGTGAAGAAATGTGTGCAAAATAAATTACAAGATAATGAAATCAGAACAAGTTTTAAGAAACTTCTATTTAAATTAAAGCCACCGTATGTATTAAAACAGGTTTCAAGTCATCAAGGGCATTGAAAGGAATTTTGTCGAAGTCGATGGGTATTTTCTCTGTGCTTAAGGGGGGAAATGGAGAGCAGAAGCCATCTATGTGATTTTAATATTAAAAAGAAAGCTCATGCAATCTGCTGAACAGTCAGGTTTCCTTCTGAAGTGAGTAGAAGTTAAGGCTGTTCAACAGATGTTCAAGCAATCGCACAGCTTGACACTATTTAGTCACCAGGGCTTTGTTTTAAAATACTAGAAGGTAAAGGTCAGGTACCACTGGAATATTTTAGTCTCTTTAGTATGTTACTATGAACTCTGCTTAAAAAGAAATAACATCACAAATCTTTTACTGAGAGAGCAAATTGTGCAAACCAAAAATTCAAATTCAGAGGTCACATTCTTAGGCAAATGGAAGCTACTACAATTTAGAACTTTCATCTGCTGAAATCACAGGTGCTTGTGATAGCATTTGGAATTAATTGCAGTCTAGGTTTGAAAAGTCTCATACCAAAGCTTCTCCCACCCAACCCACAAATTAAGAACAAAACAAAATATTAAACAGACTTCTAGATCTGTTTATGGATGGCACAGAAATAGAAATAAATAAAATATTATGCTTCTTGGATATTTCAAAGTTTATACAGTCTATTTCTGAATGTAAATCATAGCCACTAGTGGCCATGTATAATCTGGCTACTTTACAATTTTCCTTATAATTTCATGAAATATTTTAAGTGATGCATATCTGAAGCATTCCAATAAGTCACGTCCCTCTGTGTGTTTCCAAAAGGCCCCCTGACAATGAACTAGCTAGCTGCTGACTGATGATGGAGATTTGCTTCTGAGTTTCTTGTTCATCACATGTCAGTTTAAAGAGACAAACCAATCTACGCCTCTCTGGCATTGTGTGAGTCCAACGGATGGTTTAGAAAGAAAATAGATTTAAATGATAGCAGTGATAATATTTAGTTCAGGCAGCAATGGAGCTGAACAAGATCCTTGCTTTATTCCAAGGAGGGTAGATTTATGGCCTCTGAGCAGTTGTCATGTCAAACGTTCCTATATTTCTTTCTCTTCCTTCCCCCACCCCCCCAACATATACGGAAGGCAGAAAGGAGTGATATTGTGTACAAGGCTATTACACTTTCACTTTGGCCTGCCTAATGTCCTTGACACACACCAATTTTGCTCAGCGACAGCCAGTATGCAAATTGGCGAAAAGCTCCATTAGGTTGTTCGAGGCTAGGGAAACCCATCTGTCAGTGTCTGTGACATTTTTCTAGCCTGGATTCTCATGTGGGAAGCTGTCCTTGAGATACCCAGACAGATGAGTTTCCTCTGGTGTCTAATGTTCTCAGAATCTGAGAAAGTAGTCATAGATTTTTATTGCCTTGACACTTTTGGTGATATGTGGTCCCTTCTTTTGCACACATGCATTAACTGTTGGTCTAGAGAGGGAAGAAGAGGGAGGAATTATTTCTTTCTATAGTGATCTCCTTGTTTGTGGACAACAGTTCTTTGAAAATCAAAAAGTTCTTCCAGAGAAATAATGATCAGGAATGTGGGCAACAGGTTATTTTGAGCATCCCCTACTGTTTTGATACATTGCTTTTAGCAAGAGAATTTAAAGGAGAGACCAGAACAATAACAACCCTCAAACATGTTGGAGCTTGGATAGAATCTGAATGAATCACCAGTTGAGCATATGTCAAGTGAGCCCTAAAGAAGAGTAGGATGTTAATCTATGAGGGAAATGGATTGAGAAGGAGATGGGAGTTAAAAACACAAGCGAAATTTAAAAGTAGCAATCCTTCAGAGTGGCAGATAACAGATCCCCAATTAACAAAGTGCAGAATTGAGCTCTCCCTGATCTGGCTAAGGAAAAAGTGTATTCCCTTGTGATTTTAGGCTCAGGTCATTTACAATTTGATTGTGGTAGCAGTTAACCATAATGTAATGTTCTGTTTTGAGGATTATGTCTTACAAAGTAAAAAGGATTGCTTTGTGTATAATATTACTAGGTTAAATCTAACATCGTGCAAATGGAGTTCCACTCATGCAGTATAAGTTTTCCTTCCCTTTCCCCCCTGCAACTCCCATAATTTTGTTGTATGGTCATCTAACCTTCCAGAGCAGATTTTGAGGGATGCAGCAGTAGGGAAGGAGAATGCATTCCATTGACAGATACCATTCACTTGACAAGATGGACAGCATTGGATACAACCCTATGTTTCTTATTGTAGTGATTGAGCCTGCTTCCCCCAAAATACAGCATTCTGTGGTGAACCTGAATGTGCATTGGAAGAAGAGTCGGGGTCAGGATTCTTAGCTGAAATTCCAAGGCCAGCATGTCTCAAGAAAAGCCAAATGGTTGGTGAGAACCAGACTACCTTTGGTTCTGGGGGAGACACTGTTGAACATGCAAAGACAGACTGGAACATATGTAACACAATCAGTCCTATCATCTAGCATCAGATCAAAAGGGCAGGCAATCTGTCCCACAATCAGTGGGAACCTCGGTGAGAGTGGAGCCAGCTCCATTTCAATGGGAAGGGGAAAGAGAATTCAGTTTGGAATGAGTAATATTTCCCTAATTAGCAGGCTTCCCAACTTCACTGATGACTTTTGTTAATAATCTCTGTGCTTCTACTTTTGTATCTCAAAACCAGCCCGACTCGTCCATTTTAACATTAGAAGACTATTGTCTTGATCTGCTTAAAAAGGAAGAAGGCTTCTGTCTGGGGGAAAGCCTGACCTCCAAAACCTTTCAGGTCTCTGACTTATCTTGGTCCCATGGGGATGACTGCTCATGTTTTGCTTTTTCTACTCTTTCCTTTCCAGTACGTGAGAAGGGGCAAGTCTAACGACCAGAGCTATATTGCTTCTTGGAGTCTGACCACAAACTGTGCTCTAGCCTACTGTGATCCCGTTGTTGTCTTTAACCTTTGTTCCACCT